GTGCGGAAAGGTCATGACCAGGAGGGGGATGCGGGCCATTGGCTGGATTGAGCCCACAGGCCAGTTCATGCCATGGGGGAAAGTGGCCTGGTTGCCACGGGGGCGAAGGTGAAGAACTCGATGCCAGGTTACGCCATTACCCCACCTGGGGCGAAGGCTACGACGTTGAGGCGGACGTCATGACCGCGAACAGGGCGCATGTCGTGGAAACGGGGCCTGGGCTGTCGGCAATGCGGAAAAAGGAGGGGGGGTCATGGAAATGATCATGAGGGTGTGAGGGCGGTAAGCGTGAGATGGTCTGTGGTAAGGAGGACAACGGGGAGTCCCAGGTATACGCCGTTCTGAGGGCGAGTCCCATGACTGCGAGGGAGGTCGAGGTCACGTTGGATTCGCTGTAGACAGGTTGTCGAAGAAATGGTTGGCAGGGGAAATGGAGTGAGGCTTACGCGTATGAAGAACATGTCATGTAGCCTCGTTTCTATCAGGGAAGCGTCGTGACTGAAACAATGCCCGAACATCTGCCGGAGTGTGACCGAAACTGGCGCCCGACATTTTCTAACCGCGCCCGAGTGTGACCGAACTGCTTGGTTCGAAACCGAGACGGTTTCCAATTTCGGTCACAATTTCGGTCGCACCACTTTTCCAATCACAACTTCGGGCCTGTTTCGGTCACTGTTTTTTTCGGTCACCTACCTTTTCGGCTTATAGGGGCCTGGTGCCATGAACATCTGCATACCCTCGACGATTCGCACATGTCGAGTCGCTGGCCACCATTCCTTCGACATTCCTCCGAAGATTGCAATGGCCTCCGGCCAATGCCGCCGATCCGGGGGGCTCCGGATTCGGTGATCTTCGCGACTCTGTGGCCTCCTCCCTCCTCGATTCTTCTGGTCCTCTCTCTTCTCCCTGGTTCTCGTTATCCTCTGCCTCCCGCTGACCCCTTTGCTTCGCGTGCTCGCTCCCCTCTCCGTCCTCGCTCGTCCTCGTTCCCACTTTCGAGCTCCCGGTATCGGCTTGCCAGCCAGCGCCGCTGTTTAGACGGCCCTGGACCGGAGGCGGCCTTCGGACGCCAGACATCTCAAGGGGCCCTCGCCGGTAAAGGGGGAGTGGGCAGCAAGGAGACTGGTCCGAGGACCGTGAGGAGGGTCAAGGTCGCAGTTGGGGGCGACGCTGATGGCCACCAGAAGAAGTGAAAGTCACCGCCTGGAGAAAGGATGACGAACCCGACCGTCAGGTGGGGCAGCGGGGAGCGGGAGCGCGAACTGGCAGACAACGCATGCTTTTTTGTTATATATTTTTCCTCCCCCAGCGGTCACGCCATCGGCACGCGCCTACTGAATAGCTCTGGGTGGCTGTCAAGAGTCAAGAGCGCCCAACAGACGGCCTCCAGAGAGGCCTGGTTTGCCAGCGGCTGGGAGTCATCGCTGTGTTTGCTGTCTTCCATGAGGTTCGCAGGGTTGGTCTGCCGTGGCGTGCGCAGCAGGGTCGCTGTCCAACGTGGACGCCTGTAGGGGGTCTCAGGCTTGAGGAAGCTTTGGGGGGCCGTGGCGTTCACGGCGCTGACTGGCGTACAGCTGGCCGACGCGAGTAGAAACGAGCTGTCTCGGGGGATACAGTGGCGGGCGCCCAATCAAGTGGGGGCACGGACATGACCGCGAGGGGGGTCGTGGTCTTGCCGCCGGGGCCGTCGTGCCGCCATGGCGGCGCACCCCTGACCTGGATCGTGAGTTCGGCGCGTCTTGGGTGTCCGTCGGGGCCTCGCGGCGTGTTTCTAGACGCCCTGCGTGGATCGTAAAGAGGGGCCTCCAGAAGCCTTTCTAGGAACGACGCCGAGCAGGACGTAGGCGCGAGACCTGCCATACGATTTGGGGGGCTTGCTGGGGAGCCTCCTAGGGGCATTTTGAAGTATTTTGGGGGTCTCTAAGGGCCTCTTTGGCCTTGTTGGGCGTCCGTTGGGAGATGCTTTGGGCTGGCTGGGAGCCCTCTTGGGCCGTCCTGGGGCCCTCTTGGGCCTTCTTGGGGTCTTGGGCCCTATTTGGGCTGTCTTGGGGCCCTCTTGGCTGTCTAGGGGGCGTCCTATGGCCCTTTTGGGGCTCCCTTGGGACCCTTTCGGGACCCTCTGGGGCCTGTTTGTGCCGTTTTGGGACTCTCTTGGGGGCCGTCTTGGGGCCCTCTTGGGGGTCTCTTGGGTTGTTTTGGGACACTCTTGGGTGCCTCTTGGGTCTTGGACGCTATGATGACCGAAGAAGCGAATATGTTAAACACATGCGTCTCCCGACGGGAACGTGATGTTTTTTGCCTCTTGGGGGCTTTTTGGGGGGCCTTCTGGGCCGTCTTGAAGGCCTTTCTTGCCGTCTAGAAGCCGCCTTGGACCCTCTTGGAGCGTTCTTGGGCCATTTTGGAAGTTCGCCTTGGAAGCCTCCTGGGCCAACTCGGGGGCCTCTTGGGACGGTGTGGGTGGCATTTTCGGCTGTGCGGGAGGTCTTCCGCCAGGTACCCAAGCGCTGAGGAGCACTCTCCAAAAAGTATGTGGGAATGGTGTGACGGCCATCCGTTCTTGTTTGAATGCGAGATGTATAATTGGAGGGACATGCCTACCTACCTACCTACCTACCTACCTACCTACCTACCTACCTACATATATACATACATACATACATACATACATACATACATACATACATACATACATACATACATACATACATACATACATACATACATACATACATACATACATACATACATACATACATACATACATACATACATACATACATACATACATACATACATACATACATACATACGTACGTACGTACGTACGTACATACATACATACATACATACATACACACATACACACATACATACATACATACATACATACATACATACATACATACATACATACATACATACGCAAACACACAAGTACATGCATACATCCAGCCATCCATCCATCAATAGATCTATGCATGCATGCGTGCATGCAAGACATACATACATGCAAGCACATTTATACATGTTTACTGCACACACGCATCTGCATATACATATATATATATAGAGAGAGGGGTGAGTGCGCTTGCGAGCGATTAATTTCCGATGCTTGCGAAGGGGCCTGCAGGGTGGGTGCGCATGTAGATTCGGAGGAGGCTTTGGTGTGCGCCCCAAATGCAATTATTCAATCGCTTCGCTCACTCCGCCGGCCCGTATTGCATGATCGCTACTGCTTCGGCGCGGGCTTGGGGCCATTTCGGCGCCGCCGGAAGGAGGAAGATGAGGATGGGGAGGGGGAGGGGAGGAGGAGAAGAGGATGAGAAGGAACGGAGGAGGACGAAGATAAATATGAGGAGAAGGAGGAGGAAGAGAAAAGGGCGGAGGAGGAAGCCTCTCGATGGCATCTTGCGGCGCTCTTGGGGCCAAACAGGGCCGTCGTCCAGATGCTTCTTTGGGAGGCCCTGGGTTCTGTTGAGAGGCCGTTCGGGGGCGCCTGGGAGACATTTTTGAAGCCTTGTAGGGCCTCTTTTGGGCCTCCTTGGAGCCTCCTGGGGTCTCTTGGGGGCCTCTTGGCGGCATCTTGGGCCATCTTGGGGGCCTCTCGGGGCCTCCTGGGGCCCTCTTGGGGCGGAAGGCTTGAGGTTTCGGTTCGTGGTCCCCATCTTAGGCCCCTCTTGGGGCCGTCTTGGGGCTCTCTTGGGCCGTCTTTGGGCGTCTCTTGGGCCGTCTCGGGGCCCGTTTGGGCTCTCTGGGGGCCTTCTTGAGGGCCTCTTGAGCCGTCTTCGTGCGCTCTTGGGAGCCTCTTGGGCCGTCTTGGAGCATCGGAAAGCCGAAAATGCGACAAGGCCAAAATCCTTCCAAAGCCATAGTAAAATTGATGATTTTGGCCTTTCGGGGCGCTCTTGTGAGGCCTCTTGGAGGCCACTTGGAGCGTCTTGGCGGCTTCTTGGGCCGTCTTGGGATCATCTTCGGCGTCTTGGAGCGTCCTTTGGGCGTCTCGGGGGCCTCTTGGGCAGTCTTGGGAGCCTCTTGGGGCCCTCTTGGCGCGCTCTGGGAGGCCTGCGAGGCCGTACCCAGGAGGAAAACCATCTCTGAGTAGACCTTCCCGGGCTGCGGTCTGGGTCCTTTTCGCCGGGGAACCCCCAGGGGCCGCCCCGCGCGCCCGAACTAGAAGAATTGTCAACCAGTTACCGGAGATCTTAGCACGCCTCTGGCCCGTTGGGCCGGCGAATTTAATCGCTTCGCTCATTCCGCCGGCCCTCGAGCGCTCTATGGGGCCTCTTTGAAGCCTCTTGGGGGCCTCTTTGGGGCCTCCTAGGGGTCTCTTGGGGGCCTCTTGGGGGTCTCTTGGGGCTCCTTGGCGGCGTCTTGGGGCCCCCTTGGGCCTCTTGGGGGGCTCTTGGGGGCCTCTTGGGGCGGGGTAGTCGAGTGCCTCTGGCCCGTTGGGCCGGCGAATTTCGGCGCCCCGCCGCCTGCAGGCGTCCCGCCGGTGCCTGGAGTGGCGCTGCCAGCGGGCCTCCCGGCCGGATCGGCGGGGCCCTTCGGTATCCCCTGGGCCTGCCGCGGCCGCTCCCGCGCCAGCAGGGGCTGCCAGCCTGGGGGAGCCGGGCGCCTGGGCAAGCTCTTCGCCAGGCGCGACCGCGCTTTGGGCGTGGCTTAACGGGGGGGTCACAAAAGGGGGGGCCAGAAACGGTCCCCTTTCGTGCCCCTTTCGGGCCCCTCCGGAGCCCCAGGGGGCTCGTTTAGGTACCGTTTGGGTATCCTTTCGGAACATTCTCGCCCCCCCCCCCATGTATGACCCCCCCATTACGCAACGCCCAAGCGCTTCGGCCCGCGGCGGTGCCGGGCGCTGCTGGAGCCCGAGTGCATGCCTGCCGGTGACGCCCTGAAGGCGCGCTCGCAGGCGAGCCAGACCAAGGAGTTGTTGCAGGCCTTCGCTGGAGGGCGAGGGCGAGATCCGGTGTGGGGAAAGGTTTTGGGCCAGTGTCCACTCCCTCATGATGGCGGGGCAGGCGACCTGCGAGGTGGAGAGGCTGCTGGTCGGGTTCGGCTACGCGGGCGAGTAAACGACCGTGCGCCGTGGCTGGAGGAGCTGGCCGCTGCCCTGGATCGCCTCGGGGCCGAGACGGCTTTGGTGGCAGGCCCGGGGCCGTGGTCCAGCGGCGGCGGCGCTTAGGGGCTGGCCGCCGCCTACCGCGGCAGCGAGGAGACGCGCTGGGGCTCGTCATTGCCGGCGGACCTCCAGTGCGCTGCGCCTGGGATAGATCGGGACATTCGCGGCGTGGGTTCGACGAGTGTGAGAGACTGGATCGCCCAGAGGTGCCAGAGCAGCCGCGGCAGCCCGGTGTGGGTGGACCTCTGGACGCTGGCCACGTCGGTCGACTTCCGCCTGCGAGAGTGCAAGACGGACTTGGAGATCATGCAGGTGTTGTCGGCCGAAGATATGATGGTTGCCCTGCGGCGGCTGGCCGCGTGCGTGCACGAGGAGAGAAGTGGTGACCGCGTCGGCGCCCAGTATATGTTAGGCACCGCGCCGCCTGGCTGCTCGGCAGAGGTTGCTCCTGCGCGGATGGTAGCCTCAGCGAATACCCACTCGAAGACCGAGCGCCCGAGGTGCGAGCGGGTGGAGTCCGAGCTGCGCGCCAGGAAGAAGAAGAAGAAGAAGAAGAAGAAGGAGGGCGAGAAGGGCGACGGTCGTGGACGCGGCCGTGGCCGAGAGGACGTGGAGGTCGCGGGGGAGGTCGAAGCGGCGCCGCCGCCTCCCCCGCCGCCCGAGGGCGAGGCGCGCGTCCCGGCGAGCCTGCCGTCGGGGCGCAGAGCGCCGATGCAGCGTGGGTTCCACGACGGCTTGACATCAGGAACCCCTCGTTGCCGCAGGTGGTCTCGGCGAGCCCGATCGACGAGCCGCTGCTCCCCATCACGCTGGCGGAGCGGCCCAAAGCGACGACGAGTCGGTCCAGCCATCTTCGACATCGCCATCAGCGAAGGCTCTGGCTCTGGGCCCTCGCGAACGAGCTCGCGCGTGGGATCAACTTCGTGGATGCGGGCTCGTGCACAGTCCTCACCCGACTCCGCCGCTGGAGCAGCTCGTCGGAGAACATTCGGAGTCTGCGCGGCCAGGTGCATCGGGCGGCCTTACGAGGCGCGAAAAGACTGGCAGCGGCGCGCCGAGATCTCGATCTGACCGCCGTCCTAGCGGTGTTGGACAATAGCTCGTGTGGAAGAGGTGGGGTGCGGAGAACCGGCCCGCCTGGTGACTCATAAAGCCCTGAGAGCGGAGGATATTGAACGTGACAGCTCTCCTTCTCAACTTCGCGCAGGGGGCCGCCCTGCTCTGCAAACTCGTCGGCCACATCGTCTCCGCGCTTCTGCCCACACGTGGTCTCTCCGTTATAGGTATCCGTCATGCTGCAGTGGGCCTTGGTCTTGTTGGCTTCAAAGACATTCGGGGAAAAGGAGGCCAAAACCGCACCCACATGTGGGCCCTGGTGTTGTCTGAACCGTGCCCTTGCAGTGACAATAACCCAGGAATGGCGGCATCGCTACGTGAGTCAGCATGCGGGTCACAAAGTCTTCTCCTTCCAGCGCCGTCTGGAGCGGCGAAGACTCGATGGGCACAGGTCTGTATGCCGCTGCGGTCACATGACCGTGGGGGTCGCACATAACTAAAGCCCAGTCCGCCCTCGTAAGCTCTGGAACGCTGGACTAAAAACAGGACCCGCCCGACAACCAGTGAATCGTCTGCTGAGGGGGTCAACGCTGAACAGGGGGGAGGAGCTAAGGAAGAGGCCTCGAGCAAATACAGATTCTCTCCCGCCTCGAATCCTTGCTCCTTGGCGCGGCGCGCGCGGCGGAGCAAACCTGGCGAAACTGAGCATCTACTGCGGCGGAGCCATCAGGGTTGCCACACAGAGTGCACAGGACTGGCCACGAGATTCTTTTTGTGCAGGCTGGCCTGGGACCACCAGGAGCCCGATACAATTCGCCGGCCCAACGGGCCAGAGTGCTAAGATCTCCGGTAACTGGTTAACAATTCTTCTAGTTCGCGCGCGCGGGGCGGCCCCTGGGGGTCCCCCGGCGATAAGTACCCCGACCGCAGCCCGGGAAGGTCTACTCAGAGATGGTTTTGAAGGCCTTTTTTCGACACCCCTCACGAGGATTGTGGCCTCCGAGGGGGGTGCACTCGACTACCCCGCCCCAAAAGGCCCCCAAGAGCCCCCCACGAGGCCCAAGGGGGCCCCAAGACGCCGCCAAGGAGCCCCAAGAGACCCCCAAGAGGCCCCCAAGAGACCCCTAGAAGGCACCAAAGAGCCCCCAAGAGGCTTCAAAGAGGCCCCATAGAGCGCTCGAGGGCCGGCGGAATGAGCGAAGCGATTAAATTCGCCGGCCCAACGGGCCAGAGGCGTGCTAAGATCTCCAGTAACTACTTAACAATATTTCTAGTTCGCGCGCGCGGGGCGGCCCCTGGGGGTCCCCCGGTGAAAAGTACCCCGACCGCAGCCCGGGAAGGTCTACTCAGAGATGGTTTTCCTCCTGGGTACGGCCTCTCAGGCCCCCCAGAGCGCGCCAAGAGGGCCCCAAGAGGCCCCCAAGACTGCCCAAGAGGCCCCCGAGACGCCCAAAGGACGCTCCAAGACGCCGAAGATGATCCCAAGACGGCCCAAGAAGCCGTCAAGACGCTCCAAGTCGCCTCCAAGAGGCCTCACAAGAGCGCCCCGAGAGCCCCAAATCAACAATTTTACTATGGTTTTGGAAGGATGTTGGCCTTGTCGCACTTTCGGCTTTCCGATGCTCCAAGACGGCCCAAGAGGCCCCCAAGAGCGCACGAAGACGGCTCAAGAAGCCCCCAAGAAGGCCCCCAGAGAGCCCAAACGGGCCCCGAGACGGCCCAAGAGACGCCCAAGACGGCCCAAGAGAGCCCCAAGACGGCCCCAAGGGGGGCCCAAGATGGGGACCACGAACCGAAATCTCAAGCCTTCCGCCCCAAGAGGGAGGCCCCGAGAGGCCCCCAAGATGGCCCAAGATGCCGCCAAGAGGCCCCCAAGAGACCCCAGGAGGCTCCAAGGAGGCTCAAAAGAGGCCCTACAAGGCTTCAAAAATGTCTCCCAGGCGCCCCCGAACGGCCTCTCAACAGACCCCAGGGCCTCCCAAAGAAGCATCTGGACGACGGCCCTGTTTGGCCCCAAGAGCGCCGCAAGATGCCATCGAGAGGCTTCCTCCTCCGCCCTTTTCTCTTCCTCCTCCTCCTCCTCCTCCTCATATTTATCTTCATCCTCCTCCGTTCCTTCTCATCCTCTTCTCCTCCTCCCCTCCCCCTCCCCATCCTCATCTTCCTCCCTCCGGCGGCGCCGAAATGGCCCCGAGCCCGCGCCGAAGCAGTAGCGATCATGCAGTGCGGGCCGGCGGAGCGAGCGAAGCGATTGAATAAACCGCTTTCGTCCACACTCTTGCTCACCCTCAGGCGTCCTTTTAAAATCATTTTCAGACTCTCTTAGGGCTTTCTGGCGTCTTTTTGGGTAATTGTCCGGCTCTCTTGGGGCTTTCTGAGAGCCTTTAAGACCCCACTTTCTCCCGCCCCCGCTACATCCCGATTTGCCCCCCACGCAACCTCCGCGTTCCCCCCCCAAAAAAGTGGTGCAGCGGTGTCTGCCCCCTCAGGGGGGATGGGGATGAGGAGGAGGAGAAAAAGGAGGAGGAGGAGGAGGAGGATGAAGATGGAGGGGGAAGAGCGAGATCAGGGGTGTCCGCAATTCGGTCGGTTCGGCCTGCTTCGCAATGGGCTGCGTGAGGTCGATTCGGTTCGGTGGGCTGCTGCGCCGCTGCGTCTTTCCGGGCTGCGTTCGGTCCGTCAGTTACGTTCACGCTGTCGGTTCGGCGATTCTTTTTGGATATTTTGTCGCCGTGTGCGCCTGTGGAGATGATGGAAGGGCGAAGGACGACACTGGCGCAATACAGTTGTCTCCTCCTCCTCTGCCCACACCTCCAATCTCATCCACCTGGCCCACTTTGCTTCTCCTCCTCTTATTCCTCCCCCTGCATCCCTGCGCCATGTCTTTCAATCGAGTGGCCTCAGAGGCATCGGGGGCCTTCAAAGAACTCCCAAGACGTGCCGCACCCTTGCGAGGCCCGACGGTTCAGGAGTCGGGTGCGAACAACAAACATTTGTACGTACATTCGCTACTGGGCCCCCTGGCACGTTGAGGCGCGGTAGAATGCAAAGTGCTGTCTGGTGGTAAAGTTTCTTACATCTTTTGACGGCCCCCCCCGCTCCCGGCCGCATCGATCTGCATGCACCGCCCCCCGCCTCCCTCCCGAAGCTTCCTGGGCTGCCGTACGGCTCCCTGGCGTTCTTGAAGGCGTCCAAGATGCCCATGAAGGCTTCCAAGACGGCCCAAGCAACCCACCAAGGCCGCCCAAATGGCTCAATATGGCCCATGATGTATTCAAGACGGCATCATATGGCCCCAATGTAGCCTCAAGACGGCCCAAGAGACCTCCAAGACGGCTCGAAGAAAATCTCCAGCGAGGCTCCAAGAGGCCAACGTCGTTGATTCTCGTGCAATGTTTGAATGATGTTCGAATGGTCGCCTTTGGCCCAAGACGGCACAAGAGGCCTTCAATACTGCCCCACGACGGCCCAAGAGGATGTCAAGATAGTCCAAGAAACCTCCAAGACGGCCTCGAGACAGCCCAGGCAGGCTCCTGGACAGCCCAAGACAGACCCAAGAAGGTCTCAAGCTCAGTGCGCCGTAATCCCGGACAGGCTAGACTGGGACATCCAACGCCACTCCAAACAAATATTGTCCAGACGGCGGCACGAAAAACAACTGTTCTGCAACATTCTCAAAATCGACCCAGACAAAAGCATCGAAAACCTGCAACACCTCCAATCGACCCTGACAAAGACCCGAATCCTGCAGTGCAGCCCCCAACAAATACAAAGGACGACCAAACCTGACTGTGTCTTTTCCCCGACTTGCCAATGTCCTGGTTAAGGCATGTCCTTGTCTCTAGGGGCCAAACAAGCTGGCTCAAAAAGAGCCTCTGGAGGCGCCCGAGATTTCCTAAGAGAGGACACCTGGACGGCCCAAGACGGCCGCCGGAGACCCCCCAGACGGCAACGCAGGCCGCAAGACAGCTCCACGACGGCCATAGAGGACAGCCCCAAGACGGCCCAAATGAGGTCCATGAGGGCTCCTCGACAAGTGAAGACGACAGGTGTCACATGTGACGGCTCTCCTCTTCTTCTTCCTCCTCCTCATCATCACCACCATCCTCGTCCTCGTCCTCGTCCTCGTCCTCCTCCACATCATCAGTGTCACCATGTTCATCATGTCATTCATCTCCCTCGTCCTCCAGAATCCCGCTTCTCTTCCTACCCTCACCCTCCTTATCCCATCGTCATCATCGTCATCAGCACCATCATCATTATCAGTATCATCATCATCAGCATCATCATCATCACCATCATCACCGTCACCATCATCAACGTCAACATCATCAACATCATGATCACCATCATCATTGCCATCACCATCATCATCGACATCATCATTCTCATCATCATCGTTATCACCACCATCATCACGAACATCATTATCACCATAAACATCATACCATCATCAGCATAACTAACACCATCAATCATCACCATCACCAACATCACCACCATCACCATCACTATCGCCAACATCATCCTCATGCTCATCCTCATCCCCATCGTCATCCGCATCCGCATCCTCATCTTCATCACCATACCATAATCGATTTCAGCAACTGGCACCAATCATTATGATCATTCTGGGCGTGCATGGTGGCGGGACTTGCCGCAGGCAGGTGGCTATGGATATGTATACGCGTGTGCAAAGGGTACACGCGTAGCGGCGCCTGCATACATGTGCATGCTGTACGTTTTGAAAAGAGATATAACGAGAGAGAGCGAGAGAAAGAGAGAGAGAGAGAGAGAGAGAGCGAGAGCGAGAGCGAGAGAACTGGCGATATATATTAAAGAGGGAGAGAGAGAGAGAGAGAGAGAGAGAGAGACATACCAATATTTACTGTATCCCTTTCTCTATCTATAGACCGAGGGCGAAAGAGCGAGAGAGAGAGAGAGAGAGACAGAGGTGGGCGATTCAGAAGGGCACATGAAGGAGCGCGGAGGATGCTGATGAGGAAGAGCGACAT